CTCCCCCAGCCATAAAGCCCTCCACGCTTTACGACAGCAAAGGAGGCGGAGGGCAGGGCTTAGAGACCATTGCTCGGCGTGGCTGGATGAGCAGGTTTATGGGGACGCGGCTCAGCATGGCCTCCTGGGCGTCTGGGCGGGCGCTGAGCGTCCCCACGCTCCCCCTCGCCAATGGCTTATGCATTCCCGTGCTGGGGCGGGTAAGTGCCCCATCTCTCTCCCCAGCTCGCGGCGCTGGGGATGGGTATCCCTGCTCCGGCCCCTCCTCCCCTTCCCTGCCACCCCTCCCCCCACACACCAATTCCCGTGTTACTGCTCTGCCGCTGCCCTAGCCCGCCCTTCCCCTCGCCACATCACCCCCAGTGCCACTGCCCTGCCCCCGTGCCACTGCCCTGCACCAACAGTCCCAACATCACAGCAGCCTATCGCTACCTTGAACCAGCTGTTTTCTAGTAACAACATAATTTCGAGCCTGCTGTCCAGTGCTCATGCCCCTACTCTGCCCTTTCCTGCTCTGTACCACACACCAGCCCATTGTTGCAGCTTGGTTGTTTTCTGTGTGAGGCTTCAAAAAGTCGTAAGGTGAAGTATCTTAAGCCTTGTTGAAATACACACCCTCCCCTATTCAGAGTAAGAGACTGTGTCACTTCATGAATATGCCCCTTCTTTCCTACCAAACACTTGTTTCCCTGAAGTGGGGACTGTAAAAGTTGCCTATAAGTAACCACTATGTTCCTCACAGAGTTTGGAAGAAGGGAGATATTTGGGATGAGTTTTCAAAAAGCACCTGTGTTCATTTGCAAGTGTGCACCTTTAATTGCATATGTAAATTGAGCATAAATGGCTAGTTGGTTGTGTACCTAATTATCTGCTTGTGTGACTACCTGACTTGCACATTCAGTCATGTAAAGGCATACATTTTCTGATTCAGTATTAAGACTTCAGCCTTTCTCATATAAAAATCAGTTCATGAATGTGACAATAAAATACACACAGTGAAATCATTCAGCCACAGAGCAAGGTGTCTTTTTGGCATATGTAAGTTTGAATTACTATTGTGATGTACCTATGTACTTAGTATAGGTTCTGTATAGGACAATAAACACATTAAATAAAACCAGAACCCTCCTCCTCCAGAATGAGGGAAAATGTGGAGTGGTGGATGTGTCTTTCCCTCAGAAATGAGGGAAAAATAAGTTGCCTCTGCCATCTCTCTCTTGACTGTTTTTTTCTGGGTTCAGTAAATTTGTTTAAAGCAATGTTGCTAGCTCTTGTGATTTTATCTTAGGTCTTTCAATATTAGGTGTTTTTCTTAAAGCACCAGTTGCTAGATTCAAAAGTCTCCGGAGGAATCTCAGCTTTCATTTTTTTTTATATATAGTAAATATAAATATATAGCCCTCGTTGCTGCAGGCAGATACTTGAAAGTGTGACCTTTGTGTACCCTAAAGGTTCAGACAGCAGAAGGCAAATAACTCATCTACTTTTTAAAAATCTCATTTTTGGCAGCGCAGGAGATAACTCATTATTTTTATTTTCATTATTATTATTATTATTATTATTATTATTGCTTAGAGTTGTAATACTGTAAGGTATCACAAATGATTGCTATATACAATACTTTTATCACTGTTCTGGTACAAGTTAGCTCTTCATACAAATAACACATATGGTTACTGTAACAGAAAAAAATCATAAAATATTTCTATAATGTTTTACTTGGGTGCCTTGGCATATTTGACTGAACTTTCTATACAGTACAGTGTTTCACTGTTTTGTTGATGGTCAGCTGAACTTCCTGACTCAGACTCTAGAACAGGGGTGGGGAGCCTCAGGATCTGGCTGTTGTCTTGTCTGGATCTGGTCCCCAAAGCTCAGCCTCCCCCCCGCTTCCCCGAGCATTGGGGAGCCTGCACTGGCACTCCAGTCTCTCCCCCGTTTCTCCCGTGCTGCCTCACTGGAGGGTTGGAGCACGGAAAGTCTACTAGGCTGGGCCCTCCTAGGTTCTGGTGTGAGAGGAATGTGGGGAATGTCTTTTTCCCCAAATCAGTAGGATTTTTTTGGGGGGGGACTTCTCACTTGTATGCAGCTCCTAACTGATTTTTCTGTGGGTCAGTGGCCCCTAACCCAAAAAAGGTTCCTCACCCCTGCTCTAGCAGAATGACATCATTTACGTGTACTGCTCTGGGGAGATCTGCGCTCTTTCCTGTATGCACAGTGTGTCCCATACTCTGTAAAAGAGTATTTATTACTGTAAGAGCAGTTGCCAAAGTGAAACTGAAGAGATATCAGGCAGGTGTATGTACAGAAAACTTCTTGATTTCTCCCCCCCCCCCAATTTTACTAATTTTGATTCTCTCTCTCTCTCTCTTATTTTTACAACCCTTCTTTTTTCCAATGGAGAAAAATTAGGTGGGGAGTAAACAATTTTTTTGCCATTTTGAAACAAAATTTCCAAAAATTCAGGTTTTTTTAAAGATGGACAAAAAATCAAATGGAAGAAATATCGACAAGCCCTAATGTTCAATGTTGCTCTTAGATCAGCCCAAATGATCCTTCTAATCTTCTGCTGAGAAATCAGAAAGCAACTTACAAAAATTCTAAGATAAACACACTCAAGAAAATGTAGAAATACTACTTAAGGTATTCTTTCTCTGAGAGAGTTGGATAATAAAAAATTAGTTAATGGGGACAAGTCAGCAGTAGGTATGTAAGCAACTAGTTGACTACCCAGTAAGCAAGTGCTCCTCCCTTCTTCCCCCCATTGCAGCCTCTATCACAGAGCACAAGTAGGGGAACATGAGTCAGTGCTGGGGGGAGCCAGCTTAAAAGTTGGTTCCCCTTCCCCAGCACTGTCTCCACAACAGGAAAGGGGAGGCAGAGGTCAAGGGGGAAACAACGTGAGCAGAGATTGAAATAGTCCTGTTCACACAAGTCCTAATCCTGCTTCTCTCCCTTTGAAATTGCGGGTTCCCACTGTCTCTTCCCCTTTGAAATAAAGAAGAGCCACAGGCGGTTCCTATACATTTCAGAGGGTAAGAGGAGGAGCAAACCACTGCCTCTCTCCCTTTGAAATATACAAGAGCCGCGGGCAGCTCCTGTATATTTCAGAGGGAGAGAGGCAGAGGGAACCAGCTGAGTCGCTCCCTTTGAAATAAATTAGAGTGTACATTTCAAAGGGAGAGGCACAGTAGGAAGTACCCCCCCTTATCAACTAATTGAGTAGTCCACGGAAATTCCATCGAGTACTCGATTAGCTAATTAATCAAAATTTAACATCTCTAGTCAGCAGTACACCTTAGTTTAAGTCATCATCTCACTCCTGCCTATTTTGGACTCACATTTTGCTTCTTGTCATGACTGGAAGTTTTGTATGCTACTCATATAGTGGAGTTTGATCCTTTGGTTTGAATATCAAATCCGTGAATGATTGACTTTTCTGAGAAACTTAAGCGGGGGGCACCAGGTTGAAGGGTGGGATGTGATAGAGTAATACAGGGTTTCTGAAAGTGTTCTGTGAAACCACTTTGAGAAACACATCAACTGGCTGCCCCAGATTATTTATTGGCGCTTCAGCCATGGAGCCTCGCGGCTCCCATTGGCTACATTTCATCCTTTACAGCCAAAGGGAGCCACAGGAAGCAGCATGGGCCGGGCTACCGCTTCGCACTGCTCTGCTTGGCTGCAAAGAGTGAAACGGAGCCAATGGAAGCTGCGAGGCACCAGTAAATAAACAAGCTAGGACAGCCAGTTAATGTGTTTCTCAAAGTGGTTTCATGGAGCACTTTCAGAAACACTGGAGTAATATGTCTATTTCCTAACATGTAAAGTGTGAAAGTGTGGCAAGGAGACATAAAGCAGGTGCCTAAGGACTGAGAACATAATTTTTCAAATGCTTTGTTTATTAAGGGTTTATAGAGGTGAATAAAATTAGACACATGCATAAATTTGCAGGAAGGTAAGATGAGGTCATGAAAGGGGAAACAAATATTCTTTGCTCAGTTAAAGTTAGGGTAAAATTTTCAGTGGTTATTTAATCAGTTCATGAAAACAGTGAAGTGGATCACTATATTAAAAAGAGTTACTCATTTTTTGCTTATTTGCTTAAAGTCCACAGTTCAAATCCAACTGATGAATATTAGGCCCAGGAACCTTGTGTCATTGACGGGGATGCTGTTGCATAATAAAAGTCTGGCACTTTCAGCAAATATATTCTGTAATACAAGCACGGTACTGCCAACCACAAGTGGTCAAAAATCATGAGTCAGGCCCTCAAGAGTCACGAGGGAAGTTTAAAAATCATGAGATTTAAAAAAATGAGGTTCTGGGGGCTATATTTGTTTTCTGTTTTTGAGTCTTCAGCATCCACATTCCGCAGCTTTTCTCTGCAACCATGAGAGCTAGAAATTTTTGAAAACAGAAATTCTCATTTAATGAAATAACTCCAGGGGCCAAAACTTTAAGAAGAGCACAGAAAATCACAATAGAAGGCAACACTGCAACCAGTGATATAAAGCAAGTTCTTGGCCTGATATT